CATGATTGTCCAATGCATGTGACTGGATAAACTCCATGAATTGTCATTCAAACGGTGTACATGAGGTCGTCATTTTGCTCAGTTGTGGGCAGTTGAAGCCACCCATAATTAGAAAGTGGGGAAAATTCAATGCCAAGAAATAAGACACTGTTTGCAACAAAGTCTCATTTGATGAATCTGACGACGAAGGAGGGCGATAAACTACACCGATCAGCTCAATATCATGTTATGTTAACTTCAGTTTACATCATCACGTATCTGAAGCAGTGAACGGGCACTCGAACTGCTGGCAGTGTAAGCTGTTATGATAATAGAGTAACACGCCCCACCTAGCGTTGGACGATCACACCCTAATAGTTCCATGCCCAGTAACCGCAGCTCGGAGTCTAAAATGTCGGTCGTCAACTAGGTTTCAGTTAAGGCAATGAGGTTTCATCGACCGGTTTGACAACTTAGTTCCACTTCTGGAAATTTAGTGAAAAAACCCTGGGCATTGGTATAGAAACAGTTCAGTCGTTGTCGATGCAGAAATTCCTTGGAGTTTAGGGGCGTAATTTGGCTGACCTTGTCGTCGGCCGGCAGACGTTTTTTGCCTTAGGTGTTTGTTAGATTCGGTCTGATGGGGTCGGAGTAGAGCATGGAGTTTGCAGTGTTTCATGCGTAATGTGATTGCTAGTTTCGGCAGGTGGTCAATTTTTTGGTCCTGAATTCAGCATCGATCTTACGCATAGTTATTTAGGCCCTCTGATTATGTGTTCATATCATGACTGGAGAACTGTGTTTACCATTTCTGGTGTCCCAAGAGTGCATCAGTATTATTTTTTGGTGCGTGAACTTGTCTTCTTGTATCACCTCAGTACAATGGTTTCGCAATAAACAGTAGGTATATCTTGCGTGGTTACAAGGAAGTCGTTTGTAATCTTTCCATAAAATAGGATACCAGGGGATTATGATGTTGTTTGAGGCGAACCCTTTGAACATCCTGCGCCAAAAACTTACGCTTTATGTAATAAATTAAAGGTCAAACGTCAGTCGTAGAAATTTGTGGTAATGATTCATTGCAAATGTGGTCTAACAATACACCATGGTCACCACGCTTTAATGATGTAGTAAAAGTCTTTTCCACCATTAATTCCCCATTTTCTCACATTAATTCCAGAATCGAAAATCAGGGGTTGGTTCGAAACCCAATTGGTTCCTTCACAAATGAGCTGTGAATTTCCGCTCGAGCGGTTGTAGAGAGATCACTGGTTTATTCAGATATAGACAACTACATTTGTCCATAATGCATGCATGCATGAAATTAAACGCGGACAATGGTTTGCAGCAGTCTCATTGGCGGAGTCCATGAGTGAAAGAAAACAGTCTACTCCACTGATCAGGCCAACTTGGTGTTGCAACCGTCGCACGTTGCAACGCAATGAGTTAGAAGCCGCAGCACAATAACCAATTACCACGCAGTGTAGTCCGCTGCTAAAATAAAACCATAGACCTCCACCCCAAGCAAGCGAACGCGTATCAGCAGAGTTACTCTAGGGGTGCGTAATTCTGAGTACCGAATATCGGTTTTCAGTCACGTTTCTGTAATTGCTGTCTCCGCATGAGTTCAACACACGGCGGAGGTGATTAACGGTTGTAGTCGAGACCTGACAACATCCAGTTAAATTTTTATTGAAGCAACATTTTTATAGTAACTTTGATGCTTCCGAATAGTTCAACTGCGGGACTCCGTGTACAAGAATCACTCTTGCATTCTCCGTTTTTCGTACAATAACAGGGTTATTGCATTGGTGCATGCGTTCTCTCCGTGGCCTATTTAGTAGATTCCTTGTGTTACTCAAATTCTTTTTAGGTGCAAGCTAAACGAAAGAACATTTTCCACATTCAACTCGCTTCCCAGAGTAACTCGAAGTAACCTAGTTTCTCCGGTGGTGAGGTAAAGTTGATTGCACCGAAGACATGTGAAGACCACAGGTTAGGCGATAATTCCCATTCAGACACAACACATAACGGTTACGGTTCGAAAGCATAGGTGTTTGTAGTAAAACAACGTAACCTATCTGGAAAATTGGGCAAAACCGATAGTTTTTCGTGTTTTATTGATAGGACAAGCACATCCACTGAACATAATTCCTGACAGATTTAGCAGGAAATGCTTCATAGAGGTAAAAGTATGGCATAACACGATCATCTCTGAGCATATGGTAAAACAAGCTGAGTTTGAGGAATCGGACAGACTAGTGGAAAAGGGTCATAATTACTTGTCCACATGTGATTGCGAATATCGATATTGTGAATTCATCATTTTCATCCAAGTCTCAATCCACAGTAAGCGTTTGACCTTCAAATCAACAACGATGGAAGCTGTAGAAATCAAACAAATCATGAACCCACAACTGTGCAAACAGAGGAAGAGAAGACGGTTACCGCACTCCTGTTGTCTTGGCCCCAATCAAACCTACGTGAAGACCCGAACCATGACCTCAGTCATGTCCTGATGATGTTGCATGGCGTGACAAATTGCATATGAAAAAATGTCACCGAAAATTCCAGAATTGATCTTTGTCCCTCCCCTCCCCTTCGCCCACTGTCCCCATTTTATCCACTCGCTCTGATTAATTGTTGTATTTTAATACTTAACCTCAATGGACCAATCACATTTATTTGTACATTAGATATAAACACACATAACTGTAAAGGCCTGAAGACGAAGTTATGAAAACAAGCTTGTTCGCTATATTGTTCGGCTTTTGATATTCCTATGGGGATCACCATTAATTTGAGGTACACTCGACCCATTACGTTTCTAGAGTTTTCAGTGACATCTTCCGATAAATATTAGGTTACTTTTTGTCCTGAAGTCTCTCAGACCTTAAAGTTTAGACCACAGTAAGATCATTGTTTACACATTTCATCGATTTGTTCATCATTAAAGGTAGAATGAATGTTCTACATTGAAATTTATTGTGTATAAAGTAACTAACTGAGGCATGATCCGAAAATCCAGGAAGTATTTTACAGCTGTTCTTAGTGTGACCAGTAGTCAAGTTGAACTGTTTTCAACCGAGTCATTACCCCGGAGGCCGGGGCTGAGATGAGTGAGGTTTGATGCCCGCAACTAGCTTGCGAAGATGGGTTTTGTTAGATTATGTAACGATACTAAAATATAAACGGTCTGATCAGATACTCGGTGGCCGAATGGGTAGCATGCTTGTGTTCTACCGGTGAGGACCCGATTTTGATCCCCTTTAATGTCAATGGATTCACCCACTGCGGATAGGTCAAAATAGCTGTCCCTAGCTTTTCAGTTCACACTCTATTCGCTCTATAAATTATGAATCACTAATGTCTAATCCAAAAACAACTCGGCTTAAAAATCGCCTGGACAAACGTAATTTCAACTTTCTTCAGCAATGAGCAGAATAAAATTTGTGAAGGTTTCTGCAAGCGATATGTAGTGTTTGTGGACCACATGTTCGTAAAATTAAAGTTTTGAGACGTAGGCAGTTGGAAATCTCAGTGTGGGCAACATGAATATGCCTGAGCAGAAATGAAAGTATCTGATTACTTCAGTTGATGAGAAATATTTTTAAGTGATAAGCAACGTCACAATTTTAAAGAAGTGAATGCCGTAGTTCATATTATCAGCTTCTCTCAGATCGATAATATGCATATAGATGTTGAGTCCACAGGCCCTGAACAGCATTGAAAGCAATACCAACAACTGTTTCCCGTTCGCTCAGAATGATGAAGAGCATGCGTACATCGAATTCGACGGGTTTCAACCCCGAACAAGGGATTTCGTTAACTCTATGCACAAACACCCTGAACTATCCGTTTCATCCAAAAATAGCCATTCAATCGCCAATAGCGCTCAAAAGACGAAATCGCTCCACTCCTTCCATATAATCAATCAAAGATGTATTATGGGAACAACTTACAAGCTCCTGCTTTTCTCGTCCCATATATTCGCGTTTTGTTTAACAGAGTGATACATACAATTCCTTCTGTAAAATGTCACATGATACGTGTTTCTTCCACTACACAATGCGGCTTCACTTATGTTGGAATATAATGTGCTAGTGTTTCATCGAGTCTTAGTTTGAAAGATCCATAGCTTGGTGCACAGACGACGTGGGGTGGGAGAGAGTTCCAGATCGAACACACTCTGACTGCAAATGACTGACGCCGGTATTCCAAGCGGCACTTTGAGACCACTAGTTTGAATGGATGTCCTCTTAGATGAACGTTGGATGATAATTTTAGCAGCGGGCGACAAGAGTGTCTTGGGTTTTGCATTATTTGTTATACCATAATCACACTTCCGCCGGTAGTGATTGGAATATAACTACAACGACTGCAGTCTCTCTGCATCTGAATAGCGATTAAACCCCCTGATTATTTTGTTGGCCATCTTTTGTGGACGCTCCGGCATTTTACAACCACGTTGTAACCATCGATTCCATGCTCTGATAGCGTACTCTGTGATCGGGCGAATGTATGCTGATAGTGAACAGGAGAAAAGCGCTGACTCAAACCGTCCAAATACCCGCCTAAGCAAACCGACATCCTTCACAGCTGCATGGGACACCCTGTTTTCACACTGACGGCAAACTGCAAACAATCAAAATTTGAGAGGAGTGGTGAGTTTTGAACCAAACCGCTTTCCAAACCGGTGTTTGAGTGACTTGAATTCATGGTGAGTGGAAGTAGCGTTATGCAAGGTTGTGCGATGATCACACGATTGCTGCTGATTGTTTCAATTTCGCCATACACCTTGAATGATCTGTGTTGGGAAGCATTCACTGAACCGCCAGAAGTATCTGACGATGAACGGAACACCGGAGAGATTATGCGCAGGCTGATTTCATTGCAGACCAATTAGACCGCTTATTTTCGTGTATCTTTATCTGAACAGGCCGAACTTACTGTTCACATGGGTACCAAAACACAAAATATTCAGGCACATTTCGAGATCGCATCATTTTGTGTTCACTCACCGTCAACATTACTGGTGTGATAAATTTCCAACACAAACGCCAATACAGCGAAGGATTGGGTAGATTCATTAACCGGATATCTTCACACAGCTGATCAAGTCCTGAGATTGAACGAGACAAGAAGTGGATCGTGTTAGCCATAACCGTAATGAAAGAATCTTTTCGGTTCATTGGAATTTTAATACGAAAAACTATCCGTGGATAGAGTAATTGTACGTCCATTGTCCTGGAAAATCATTTAAGTTAGGAAATGTTTGATTACACTCTTCACTGTCACTAGCTTTTATGGGGTCAGAGAAAAGTGGAACCTTACACGTTAGACTCAAGATACGAACTTCGAAGTCAAGAGTTAAATTGGAAAACAGTTCTCAATTAAAAAAAATTCATGAAGCTACTCGTGAACTCCACAATGGAGATACTAACGGGATGCAGAATAAAGACCGCACGGGGTGTGGGGAGGGGGGGGTCACTGAATCGAATTTCTTGGGATTGATTAGTTATGCTTTACATGTATATCTACCTGCGTATAATCGAACCGTAAACTATGGGCTTCGGAGTTCCAAACCTCAGCCCTAAGTTAGACAGTCGTTGACCAACATCTTGAGCGAATATTTACATGATTTTCTGAATTTGCATAGATGAAGTTATCTTACAAGTAAAACATTTTGGGAAATGAAATTGAAGCTTTATAGAGATTGAAAAAATATAATATGCCAGCACACACAAAAAGAAAGGGAAAGTCTGACAAGGGTACTGTATAACACCCAAACTCAATTAGCGAATGAAAACAACTTCATGCTCTTGATACATTATGAATGAAGGCAATTGTGTTATGTATTGATTTGATTTGACTATCCTTCGGACTTCACGTTCACACTCAGTCCTCATTTCATCGTTTCAACCATACACTCGGAAGCACTGGACTCGGGTTTCGCTCTTATTAGAGCTCATCAGTGGTGCACATTCATCGTCCCAACGTCCGGGATTTGAACTCCGAACCAATCTCATGTAAGGCGTGAGCGTTACCACTGCACTACTTATGAACTCTAATAAGAACCAAACTCGAGTCTAGTGCTTCCAAGTGTATGGTTGAATCGGGGAACTGAGGATTGTGCGTGAAGGTGAAGTTCGAAAGATAGTCAGTTCAAACCAATAAAAGTAAATTATCCCACACCACTACTTACAAGTAACTGTGAGTTAAGTGCGAACAATTGTGGCAATCTGATCAAGTCACTCTTTATGTAATTCAGCTAAAGAAGTCATACAAATTTTACTAATGTTCCAATTTGGAATCGGTTTATTGATAAACGAATTAAATTCCTTGGATTCTATTCCTTTTTAGGGCGCTTCATCAGAGCATCCCTCGAATGAAGTTAACGAACGAAAAGTAAAAAAGATGTATGTTACGTATCACGAGAGAAACGACGGGACAGTCGGTAAGACAGCAACATGTAGGACAAACATTCATCAGCTTGGAAGATTGTTGGGTTTCCCGGTATGCAACCAAGATCGGGAGGAGCCGTGGAAACAGTGATTGATTGCAAGTGGTCCTTCTTACTTTAAACAGGTCAACGTGCATAAAAAGAAGAATATTAACTCCTCTCAATCTCAACCGCTGCAGCAATCCAAATGGGTCTGATGTGACTTACCATAGAACCAAGCGATAGCGATAACCTGAAATAAGCTGCCAATCAGCAACGAGGCTCCGGCCATGTATCGATCCATGAGATTGAAGACATACATGCCACCCTGAAACGGCATTCAAGTAACAATTTAATAAAGTTCTCAGTCAAAACAAAACGATTACAATATCACATGTGAATGAATACCATTTCATCATACAGTTTCTGCTAGATTTCATTAGTTTACTAGAAAAAATTGACAAAGTAGTATGCATAGCTCATGATACCCTCTTTGGAAACAGAAAACTACAATGTCAGTAATCATAGTCTGTGAATTGTTGTGACTAGCACGCTAGCCTGCAGACAGTGTGTGTGCGAGCGCGCCCTCGTAGATTTCAGCTACCCACGAGACACTTTTGACGGGCGGAGTGAATGTGGAATCACATTTCCATCAACTGAAAATCATTAGAACGATGCACCATTTGTCCGGATGTGTCCATTCTGTGGCTCTGGGGTAATTCCTTACCCTATATTTCATTTAAAACGTAAGGGAATCACAAAAAATCATAGTAAAAGTACTTTGATTCTTCAAATTTAATACGGAATGTTTACCCCTGGATTGTAAACTCAACCAGCCTTAGCAAATGGCTGAAACGCATGCACCTAGAGAAGATCTTCCGGTTTTTGTGAGTCATTGCGGGTCTAAAATCCAAGGGAAACTAGTGAAAACTTGTTTTTGATTATAACATATATTAAATTTAGTTTTATTTGGATAGCAGACTCGTTTACCTACAACGGTTAAAATGTTACATTAGTATCCACGTTATCAGTCAATGGATATTATCTTGAATACCACAGAGTTATCAACAATTGATGCTGTTTTTGTTGCGATGATTAAGCTGTTCAGCTGTTAACTTTATTCTTTCAAGTCACACTGAAGTGAAGAATACCGCGGACAAATAGTTTTTGCTTCTGTGCCTCTGTGCATAAAATCAGCAACAACGGAATGTGAAAATCACTAATTTGTCGCTCCTCTGAAGGTATGCAGTGGAACCAGAGCAGTTTTCTCAATAGGGCGCTGATATCACTCATCGATTTGCAAAGACTGAATCACGTCTACAAATGGAACGGTACTGAGGCGACCTGTCTAAATGTAGTTTCTTATGATTCACGCATTATTGCAGGGCAGTTAGGAAGGCTCTGCATGGATTGCAAACGAAACAGAGCGGAATAGATCCTACCAACGTCTATCACCTACATCTACAAATCTGGAAGCACCACACACACCAGTGTCAACGGGGTGTTGCGGAAAATTTACCCATCATTGAGAATGAGTTTTTCACGACCCGTATTCCGTTTATCCGGACAATATTGATCACGTAGGTTCGGGAGTCTGTTTTCAATTCTTTC